TAATAGCTTTGAAATACATTTTCATCTTTAATTATAAAAAATTTCAAGATTAAAAAATAGTGTACATCGGGCAGATCTATGAAAACTTGAAAATCTTGAAAAAATTGATGGTAAAAATATATGTTAGAATATGCACTATTTCCAAAACTTGAAATCCATTTTTTTTCTCATGTCCATTCATCTTGATGTCAAGATGATCAATTTGATAATATTTGGGCATCAAAACAACCTCTTCTAATGAAATGTTTGAGATAGGCTCTAATTTGATTGTTTAGAGCCTAGGCTCTATATAAACTTCTCCCCTTTCAAAATATATTCTCAATTACTGTGCTCTTCATAGTTCAAGAGGCTTGGGATATGTTCCTATATATCTTTGGGAGCAAAGTACCCTCATGTTGGATAATCATGACATCGGAGTCCTCCATTTAACGCAACTTCATAATTTTGAATGATGATTTCCTATATTATTATTTCAAAAGGGAAAAATAAGAATTCTCCCAATTAGGCTAGAAGAATACGTGTACATGTCCATTAAAGATGAACAACTCTCAAATTCAGGAAGTCTAGTTTTAGAATGAGCATTGTTGGTGAACAAAGGAGGGAACAATCAAAGTGCTCTAGAAAAGTGTGTTTTTATTTCCTATGACACTTAAAATTCAACCTAACATGTTTGCAACTACTTTTTTATCTCAAATCAATGAATTTGGAATTTCAAAAATAGTACAGATCTTATAATTTTTGAATAATTAAAATCAAATAATCTACAGTAGTCCTAGAAAGGAAAAGTGTATAATGAGACAATTTATGTTTGGTACGTGGATGTCACAACTAATCTTGATTAGATGTGAAATTGGGCAGTTGCATTTATTACATTGACTAAACACAAAGTTCAGAAGAAATTTTTTTGAATTTTGTGACACACCAAAGGTGTCAGATTTGAAATCAAATAGTTATAAATAATTGGGACCTCCTTATCCCAAAAGATAAGGAAAAACTTTCTATATTCCCCCTACAACATAGAAGTTCTATCCTCCCCCTTATCCAACTGTCCATTTTTTAATGGAGGGCTAAGATTGCCCCAATCACAATGTCACGTCCCTACATTATTTTATTTTAAGTTTTTTTTATATAAATTGTTTTGACACCAAATTTTGGACGTCCATTCTTCTATCAAACTCGCACTAACAAAAAATATATATATATAAAAAAATTCAATAAAAATTGACAAAATACCCCTAAAAGTTTCAAGGGGTATTTTAGTCATTATTTTTTATCGAAAAATTATTGTTAATATTTTTTATAGGTGCACTCCAATGAGAAAATGGAAGTACCAAATTTCATATTAAAAACATTTTGTTTGAAAAAAACTAAAAATAAAACACTTTAAGACGTCGGATCTAAGATCAAATGGTGAGTGGCTCTCTTGATAAAAAATAGACGGCTGGATGGTAAGGGAAGGATAGAGCTTCTATGTTGTCGGAGGAACATAAAAAGCTTTCCCAAATATAAATGGTCTTATAGTACACAATCCATTAAAAAAATGTACAAAATAGATTGAGACTCTAATTACAATTTTTTTCGTCAGTTTCATTATCATAGTGGAGATCTTAAACCTGTAGAATTTAGGGGTGGCAACGGGTTGGGTCTGGCTGGCTCCGGACTCTGATTCGGGTCTAAAATTTGGACCCATTGGGTCTCGGGTCTGCCCATCGAGTCCTGGGTTGTCGTATCCAATGCCACCCTATGACTATGTATTTTTTTTTTTTTTTTTTGCCTTTTTTTTACCATCATATACCTTATGACTATGAGCTTTTTTTAGCTAATAATAATGCAAATATTGTCAATAATGTGATAATATGAATACTTAGTGCATGCTTAAAGACACATGATTGCCATAAAATACCCTATGACTACGGGTACAGGTTTGGTTTGGCTGCACCCAGACCCAAAGTCTAAAATTTGGATCCATATCTATACCCGACGTCGGGTTTACCTGTCGGGTCTGGTCAGGTCCATTACCACTCCTATTAGAATTTGAATCCTAAATATTGGAAGTTCTACTCTAGGGACGCGTTTGAGCCCTACCTTTCATTAAAAAAATAAGAGAACTTACTCATCAACAAACTAATAAGAAGAAGATATGCATGCTACTTTTATAAGTTGCATTATAAAAGTGAAAAAATGACATGTAACATGGACATCTATCCTTCATTTATGGGGCACTTGACAAAGACCCCAATAAATAATTGGCGTTGGGGTGATGAGCTTTTTGCTAACGTAAGCAATGGAGTGTGTAAATCGTCATATAACCCTACGCTCCAAGAATTATTATTACCTTTCTCATTTGCTCCCCTGCCACATGAGGGGCACTTTGATGTGGTGCGGTTTGCATTAGGTTGCACTCTTAAATAAATAAAGTAAGGCGCATCTCCAAATTTTATCACAAGATGCAATTTTGGTATAAATTTCCAAATTTTATCACAAGATGCAATTTTGGTATAAATTTTTTTTTAAGATGGCTCAAGAATCTATTTTCATATCCAATTATAAAATTTTAAAATAAAAAAAAATCAAATCAAGTAAAAGTATAAACACATGAAAATCTTTAAAATAGACGGTGCAAATAACATGTTGCGAGATGAATTATTTTTGGGACTCATTATCTTTTTTTTTTTTTTGTATCCATACATCTTGATGTCAAGATAATCAATTAGAGTGTTTCTTGACATCGAAACAACCTTTTCTGATAGATATTTGATGTGCACATTAATGCTACAGTTTAAGAGTGCAACCTTATATAAACTTTTTATACAAGACCAAGGCTCTAAACAATGCCCTAAAATTCAGTAGAAGATGCTGTTTTGATGTCAAAAAACTCCCAAATCGATCAACTCAACCTCGAGATGTATAGATGTGAAAAAAAAAAACAAAAAAACGATTTCAAGTTAGGGAAATAATGCATCTTGTAATGCACTATTTGGGTCGTCAATTTCAACAATTTCAAGAGTTTATAGATCTCTTTGATCCACATTATTTTTTACGCTTTAAATTTTATAAATAGATATTAAAATAAAATTTAAGGCTATCACAAATATTTTTGCTACAGAAAAATCAATTTTCGACATTATTTTGAGGTGCCTCTTACTTTGATTGTTTAGGGTTTCAATCTTATACCACACCCAACTAAAGTTTACATTTTCCTTCAATTGGAACTAAATGGTTAAAGAGAAAAAGAAATGTTAACACATTATTTAGTTGCTTAAAAATAGATTAGACTACATTCCTTGTTATAAGTATGAAGAAAAATGGGAATATTTTAGGCTAATTAAACAACCCAAATAGAAAGGTGAGGTTGATTGCTCGTTTTGCACACAAACATGGGTGGCAATAGTAATATCACCCTTCCAGTTTTTTCCTTATATGTTACGTGTGTCGGAATCAAATCATCGCCAGCAAAGTCGCCCCTGTTGAAGATGGAGAATAATATAATAATTTTTTATGATAAGAATAAAAGTAAAATTTTATGTAAAGACTAAGTTTTACAATTTAAAAGTATTATCGTAGATCAAAACTCTATCGAAAATATAATTTTGGTACTAACACTTCAAGTTAATTATCTCGACTTCAATGATTATGAATTTGCACAACTTATATGACTCAAAACTTCAAATTCTACAAATCTCTAGGCAACGCAAGATTTTTGATGCCAGGTACCATGCTTTTTTATGAGATGTGGCCTCCCTTTTGATCGTAAAGCTTAATTTTTATTTTCACTTTTACTTGTAGAATGTAATTTTTATTTTCACTTTTACTTGTAGAATGTACCTGTAGAATGTAAAATTTGATAGCTTGCGGTACTATAAATAATATATAAGATTTTTTTGGACTTTGAGCCTACACCTCTAACAGCCCGATCTCATTTGCCACAAGAGGATGCTAACCTCCTTTATAGTATAGATAAATAGTCCTAGTACATATTTTTCTTATTATAAATAATAATTTTTTATTATAAATAATAAAATTTACTGAAATATCTATGAGAGATGTACTATTGAATATTTTACATGTCACTATTCTAAATCATGGTCTTGTATCTTTTGATATGTATTTCAAAATTTAATCAAACTATATGATTAAAATGTTAAATAGTTTCCCTTATAAATAAATGTGTTTTTAAAGCTAAAGCACCCTTTAAAAGCTGTAAAGATCCGAACGACAGTTCCGTAATTTGGGCTTGTGAGGAGATTTTGGTGTCCTTCTAACATATTTCGTTAGAAGTTAGAGGGTAATTTCGGGCATTGCCGCTGATATTTTCCACTTTGATTCAGAAAAGTCATCAAACGTGCGAAACACATGGGCACAAAAAAAACAACAAAAATTTTCAGACGAAAATTTACTCCGATCAATACTCGTTAACAGTCGCTGTTCTTCACTTTCAATTTGACCCGTTTCAACTGAACTGGTTATGATCCAAAAAACACATAAACCCAATGACAATTATAATATTAACAGAGTCAGAGAGAGACAGAGAAGAGAGAAAATTGGGAAGTGGGATTTTAGTTTAAAAGAGAGAGTGATGAGTGGGTTTTAGATTTCTTTTTTCATTTTTTCTTTGTCAGCTTCTCCATCATGTTTGAGAGAGAGATGGGTTTTCAATTTCCTGAGAGTTGGGTTTTCAATTTGTTTTGTTTCCTCTCAATGTTTTAGTAGAGAGAGAGAGGTGGCTTCTCTCAACATTTTAGAGAGAGAGAAGGTGGGCTTCTCTTAACAATTTAGAGAGAGAGAAAGTGGGCTCTCCCAATATTTTAGAGAGAGAGAAGGTGGGGTTTCAAAGTTTAAATTTCTTTTTAGTTTCCCCCAACTTTTTAACGTTATCCACGTCCACTGTTGCTGCTCCCAATTCCCAACACTTGAAGGCGACTGTCCCTCTCTCTCCTTCTGTCTCTTTTCTTACTTTTTTCTTTTTCCTTATAAACAGAGAGAGAAATGGTTAAATCATTCCTTTTCAAAATCACCTCTTTCTCACACTTCCCCATTTTCATTGCTACTGCACTCTCTTTGTCTCTCTTCCCCTTTCTCTCTCTAAATGAAAAAGGTCACAAAAATTTCTCACTACTTGTGAAAACTTCATAAGAGCCAAAGTGGTATTTGTGTCTGTACACAAAGCCCCTTGTGTCAGGGAATGAATGGTTCCAACGCCAATACCAGTCTGCTTTCTGCTTCTCTGCTCTGCAACCCCTACAGTTACCTCTCTCTCTGTGTAAGTACTTCGCCCCATTATTTTTTACCCCTCCTCTCTCTCTCTAGCTTCTCGCTCAAGACACATTCTGTCTCCTTCTCTAGTCACACTCTCTAGACTCTCGGCAGACTGTATTTTTTTCTCTTTAGAAACGCACAATCTCTATCTAGAGAATAGAGACACACTTTCTCTCTCTTCTGCTGTGTCACGGCACACAGAAGACATGGGTTTTTGCCATTGTTTGACTCCCTGAGTTGTGGGCACATTAAATAATTGCCCCCTTTTTGGGGGCTTCTATATGCTCTTCTCAAACCTGGTATTTCTAGCTGGCTTTTTCCTGTTCCTCTTCCTGTTTTCTGGTTTTCTCGTTTTGGGTTTTTTGGCTGTATGTCTTTGCAACGGCTTATGGGGTTTGAGGAGAGCTGTGATGATTTAATGGACTGGTTCTGAGCTTTTGAGCATTGGGGTTCTCTCAATGGACTGGGATATCAAAACCTCATCTTGGGATTTTGAAAATTTTGTGGTGGATTCAGCCAAGGGTGAGAACCATGCAAGTGGGGTTCAGGAGACAGAGAGAGAAGGGGTGAGAGAGAAAGCCATAGAACATGGGGCTGTGGATTGCAAGGAGAGACAGGGGGTCCCTTTCTTTGATTTGAAGCTTGGTAGGTTGGGTGATTTAGAAGATGGGTTAGAGAGTAAGGATTTTAGGGAGACAAGCTCTTCCTCCTCTGTGGCTTCTCCCGCTTCTTCGTCGAAGAGGGCTCGAGCCACTAACCAGACTACAGTAGTTTGCCAAGTTGATGGGTGTAATGTTGATTTGAGCTCTGTTAAGGATTACCACAGGAGACACAAGGTTTGCGAGGTCCATGCTAAGACTCCGATGGTTAGAGTCAATGGTATCGAGCAAAGGTTTTGCCAACAGTGTAGTAGGTAGGCTACTTCTGAATCTTTTTTTACTGTTTTTTCTTTTGATTCGTGCGTTTTCTCATGAATTATCTTGTGCCTATGGGGTTTGGTCTTTCTTTATAGTGGGTCATTATTGTGTTGTGTTCTCTCCTGCTAGGTTAGCCCCTCTATGTGTATGTGTGTGTGTTTGAAGTGTTTGTTCTCTTTTGGTAATGGGAAGTGTAATTTTAGCAGTGGTGGTTCCTTTTGAATTATTACGCTTTTCTTGTTGATACTCGTATATCTAGACTATATCCTGATCTTGTTTCAATAGGCTATATATTTGTCTTAGTTCCAGTGGTATTTCAGTTAATGTGACTTGCCAAAGTTAGAGGAAACAATACAGAGAATGCTTTTCCGATGAGGATGTGGTGGCTGTTCTTCTTGTCGGTGGATGGGTTGGATTGAGAAGTTCTTGCTTTCATTTGCAGGCTGCTTAGGAAGTGGCTTAGGAGCAAATTGGTTTATAGTTATTTGAGGATGGGTTTTGATTAGATTAATTGATAGTTTGTCAATTTATGATGTTTAAGTAGATCATAGAAATACACTTCATTGGAAGGTGCACGTAGTCCCTCATGAGTGACGTGACCTGTAATTAATTTAGTTTTTGTTGTGCAATGTGTAGTGGACCTGAAATAAGTCATGATTTGCCAATTAATGGGGGCATGCTAATTACTAGATATGGGTGCGATCAAGTGAATGCATTTGAGCATGACAATGTCAAAGAGTTTTGAAGGCTGCATTTTTGAACTATAAAAAATTTTGTATTGCATCCTTTAATTTGTTTTTTCTTACCAGGCTTAGAAGGTCGTTTTGAGTAGTTAACATGTCCAAGTGGGTTTAGTTCCTATTGGCTGTTTGGTTTTGTATCCATAAATGTCTTCTATACATGAAGGTAACTTGCCTTGTTCATGCAACTTCACTATATGTCTGTCTGGGTTACCTGGTGTAGGGTGACCCATATTCTCTTCTATTGCTTTTTCGGATTTCCTTTTTCTATTTGTGATCTTCACCTTGTCTCAGGTCTAGTTATTCTTTTCATGCATATCTTATAAGTTTAGATTCATTTGGTCATGTAGGTTGATTTTTTCTTATGGTTTAAGTTAGTCAATTGTTTTCTTTGGTTCAATATTTGTAGCAAAGAGATCTGACTGCACAACATTTCCAGTCCATAATGGAAAATGGTCATATTTTTTTTTTTTAATGAGAAAGAAATGGTGCTTGTTGTGATCTTTTCTTCTTTTAGCTTTAGGTGTCCTTCCCATTTACTTACCCCAATTCGCCTCTGTTGTTACAAGTTTTCTCCCCAAAGCTCAGCGACGCATGTAAGGCAGGATTAGATAGATTTTCAGGGCCTTGTGCTTGGACTCCTTACGCCTAACAGGTTGATGTTCAGGGTACTATAAAAAGGATTGGTATTTGATGTTCTAGCACACCTATAAATTCATGTGCAGTCTGATTACTGGAAGTACCATTTGTTAGCGTCAATGACTATTTATAGTCTTCACATCTTTTGTGCTTAGACCTATTTCTATGTCACAGTTCCTTTTTTCCTAGTACATCAGTTGATAAATGAGATGCAAATATTTTAAGTCAAGTAGCTAATTGTCATATCCTAAGAATGGAGTGTTGTGGCTACTAGTTCAGATGCCATTGAGGCAATGCATAGATGATGGAACTTATATAAGCCCATGTGTTGACATTTTGGGCATTCATTTCTTGATTTTTAAAGTAACTATTTTTGTTGTTCCAAATGTAGCTTGTTTTTTGTTTAAATTGAGTAATTTTTACCTGCTCTTTCTTTATTACTGGACTTCTCCTTACAAACTTATATGTGGCTTGTTTATTGAGTCGATCATATTTCCTTGTAAACATTGGCACATGTTATGAGAAAGAATATGGTGATGTACTTTGACATTTATTGAATAAAGGCATCAAGGTACGAAACCGTGGAAATGGATAGGAACATGCAATGAGGTTAATTTTAGCAAAGCTGGTGGGATATTTGATGATTTCCTATGTGGCATTAAATGTTGCCATCAAGTTTAAAGCTGCACCTGCAAGTATCCAGCTTGCTGAGATTAGACATTTCGACCTTTTTAACTTCTGCAATTTCTAATTCTGCAATAATATTGTATAAAATATTTCCAGCTAAATATACCAAATTTCTAATTATATGAGATATTGAGCTTGTGAGTTTTAATGAGATAAAGATCAGAATACTGGATTGATGTACCTTCGTTAAATTTTGAAAACTTGGGACTCGCCCAGCTAAAGTGGTCTCAACCTTTTTGTTTTGTTTGCAACGATAAGATTCAGTTTACTCTGAGTCTTTTATTTTATTTTTTCTATGAAAGTTTCACGTACAAACAAGAACAAAAGAATGATGATAAGCCTTCTTTTTGGAAGTTATATTTCTGAGTTTATTGCACCAGTCTTGGGCATTTTGAGCTTTGGAAATTGGCGCTGTTTTTAGATATCGTAGAGCTTGATCCTGTTCAAACAGAAGAAAGCAAACAGCATTTATTTTCTTTGCACCAGAAGGATAAAAATGTATGTGGTAAGTGGGAACTGATTTAGGGACACATAATATAGTGGAAAAGAACAAAGTAAGTATCGTTGATGAATCTCATTAGTTGGATGACAGCGAACACTTCTTCTTTTTTTGGTTTAGTCTTCAGTTTTCTAGATTAGTCAGGGAAGAAAATGTTATCATCGTTCAAATTCCTGATAACTTTCCCCTGAAATGATAATAATATTGAAAATAATAATCTGATTATCTTTGAAACTAACTATTGTCACCCGTAAGAGCATGTGTGGTCCACCTTTCAATTTTTCCTTCATCACAATTATAAGGCTTTTGCCCAAGAAAGTTACTTGGATATGAAATGCAACTTTTTCGTTCACCCCAATGGTTCTGTTTGTGTTCTCTCCAGTATTAAAGTTGTAATATTCCATCAATCGGCAGCCTTCAAAGATGGGGAAATTGTTTCTGTTACGATCCTTTCCACACTTGAGGTACCCAAGTAGGCAAATAAGGACTTCTTCAAATTCTTCTGTCATATACATGAAGAGACATTTATGAAAGACAGGATTGTAAATAATGGAGTTGATGTGTTATCAGCTTAATTGCATTGTTTGTATGTCCCAATGTATTATCATGTTTTTTGTATACTATAAAATCAATGACGTTACATATACACACCAACGAACAAAAGAATGTATGTACACATATCTCATTTCGATCACTGATATAACTAACAGGCAAGGATAATGGTTAAGCTAACCCTATGCAAATGTACTATATATTTGTCATGCTAACATATAATATGTTCTTTTTTCTTCTTCTTTTTTTTTCTTTTTGTCATTTAAGTACATTTTATTTTGCTTGTTGTTATGCCAGTTTATGGGTGTGGAGAATAGTGATTTGCGTGATTTAATACTTGTCACAAATGTTTGTCATGCAGGTTTCATAGGTTGGAGGAATTTGATGAAGGCAAACGGAGTTGTAGGAAACGCCTTGATGGGCACAACAGACGTCGAAGGAAACCCCAACCTGAATCATATTATGGGAGTCCTTCAAGCTTGCTTTCAAGATTCCAAGGTCAGCATCCTTTGTTATGGAGATTTACATATATGTCAATCTAAATGAAATATGTATGGTATACTCGTAGACTCGTAGTCCATTGGGATCATTGGGATCATCATGGTCCAATGAAATTAAGGAATGGTGGGAAGATGTGACCCACCAGAGCAGGACATAACTTCAGTGTTGTGTCTCATACTCCCTTCATCGCCATCAACCAATACTTTGAATGGTGATGATCCAACAGAACGTGCCTTTGGATGCTCCGGTGATTATAGTATATAGAGAAGATGTTTGCTGCAGTGCTGTGTTCATATAGGATTTCTAGCTGCTGTATAAATTTGGCTGTTTTTAGAGTATTGGTCTTTTTGGCAGATGCATAAGGAAACTTCTCTGGTTGTTATATTTTGAAAATTACTAGATGCCTTAAAATTTTTAAGAAACACCCAATCAAATCTGATTTTACAAAAATGAATGCATGTCCTTTTCTTTCATGAATAACCCAAATACCTATGAGGATATTTCTGACAACACAAACATTGCTATTTTCTTGGTTTTTTTCAGTCCATAACTGGAAATAACCTAATTATATTTGAGTTTAGAAGAATGACTTAATGTTCTTAATTCTGATGATTAACTCAAAATACCATGGAAATTATCATTTTTTTGCATCTGTAAGTACCCGATATATATATATATATATTTTTTGATAGATAGTAATATGGGCCATTTTAATCCGATGCCATAACCTGAATTGGCCATTGATATTTCCATGTTTTCTTTTAACTTGCAATACTCTTTCATTTTTAGGTAGGTAATAAGGCAAAGTTCCATTTTTTTTGTTTATCTTTATGAAAATGATTTGACGTCCTTAATTATCATGAATAGCTCAAGATACCCATTGAGAAACTCTCTCTCTCTTTCTCTTAACTCGATTTGCTGATATTCTTCTCATTTACAGGTGGCCGGCTTGGCCCCTATGTTGGCCCTCAGTTGTTTCAGAACACTATGCATGGTCCCAACTGGCCTGAAGCCCCGAAAACAGAACAAGATAATACTTACAATGCCCACCACCACCCACTACATGCACCTCACCTTGAGCGTCAACCCCCTGCCTATGCAAACCCCGTCTCTCGAGGTTTCAAGACAAGCAAGCAGTTCCCTTTCTTACAAAGTAGCACCGAGATTCTTGTAAGCTCAGGGAATAGCACCTTATTCTCACAAGGCTTGACAAGGGTCTCAGATTGTGCTCTCTCTCTTCTGTCAACCCCAACTCAATCTTCTTCCATCTCTCTAACCCACATCATGCATGGTGACCGCATACCCATGGCCCAGCCCATGGTCCATGCCCATGGCCATGGAATTCAGTTTGGCAATCCAATGAGTTCTAACAGTGGCTCGAGCAATGTATTCTCTAGCTCAGGCCTGGGTGATGACCATGTTGGTGGAGCTGTTATTGTGTCCGATGCCAATGATGCCGAGCTTCAGGGCCATGCCATGATGCAACATCACCATGGCCATCATGGTGTAGGGAGCTCAAAGGATGGAAGTTCGTCTTCACAAGGTCTTCCTTTCTCTTGGTGATGGCGCTTTTGGTGATGGGTATGTTTGTTTTGATCCATCCTTTCATGGGGTTGCGGTATTCAGTGGGCTTTTGAATCATCGGATTATTTTCTCTCTAGGGACCATCTCATGAGAATGCATTCTGATGAATTATTGTTTCAAATTATGCATGGGTTTTGATTCTGGATGTTCAGGCTGGAATATGTGCCTGGCCTAATGCTTGAATCATGTATTAGGCCAAAAAAGGGAGTGAGATTTGCTGGAATTGGGTTTTGAGTTTTTGGCCAGTTTTTGTTAAAACCTTGAAAGGGAATACCTTTTCACATGAGGAAAGAACTTCCAATTTTTTCCATTTTTCCTTGAATTTTTGATATGCAGAGGCTCAGTCTGCCCTTCAATTAATCCATTATGAATGTTACAAGCTTGATTTTAGGAGCAGTGAAGCAATGTAGGTATGCTGATTTATATAGCTACCATACCTGCATGGATCAATTATGATGCAATTTTCAATTGGTGTCTGTAGGTTCTCTCTCTCTCTCTCTCTCTCTGCAAGCTGACAGCATTAAGAAAATTCTTCTCTCATGAAACAGAACCTGCGACACTAGAAATATGTTTGTTATTAGGATGGAGAGTGTTGTTCATCTCAAAATAGTTACAAAGGTATGATGATAGAAAGGCCCTTGTTTTAAGTTTGGATGAAGTGTCTATAAGGCCTAGGCTTTATGAAGACAAAATAAGGCCTCACTTAAATCCTCGTCTTGAAAGCACTTTCGGCAACATAAATCTCCACAAGGCTCTAAAATCAATTTTCAAAATCTATAGCAAAATTTGAAATTCAAAAAATGATACAGATCTTGCGGGTCTATTAACACTAATTTTTAGGGCAAAATGGATGGTCTAGATAATTTATTACAATATACACTATACATTATATCTAGAGCTTGAAATCCTCATTCTTTTTTACAATCATAATGTTCAATCCAAAATGATCGATATAAAAGTATTTCAATACTTGAATTGCAATTTTTGATGAGTTATGAGGTGAGGCTTTACTTTTTTTAAATAGCGCCGTGCCCCTTCCAAACCATTTTCTTTTTAGTTTTGAACAACCTTAAAAAACTCTTCAAACCGATACATAGTGGTTCCAGTCTCAAGAAGATGTTTACATTGAATCTGACCTAAGATGAAAATTGTAGTAACTAAATAAACAACGATAAAGAGAAAAAAAATGTTCTCTCCATATTTATTTATTTATTTTTAAAGAAGGGGTAACTAAGGCCAGAAAAAAAAAAGTGAGCCAAGGTAAATAAGAGAAATAGAAGAGTGTACAGCTTTCAGAGAGCAGGAGACAGCTTTTGAAGGAAGAGAGAGAAGAAACAGATTTCACTGCCACAAATAATATACTCCTCCCAAGAGCACACTGTACACATTCACTTGGGTAAAAACTTGTTTCCTTGATTTAAAATTTGGAACTCACCATACCATAACCTGATGGGTATATTTGTGAAAACCTTTAATTTTGAGTTTCTAAATGTTTAGTTCAAATTTGGATGGTCTCTATTCAATATTAGGATTTTTTTCCTTCTTTTTTAGGCAGGTGTTGAGTGAATTTTTCTTTTGGGCGAGGTTTCTATAAGGTGCCTATATCATATAAGTAAGGTGCACATCCATATTTTGCCGCATAAGTAAGGTGCACGTCTATATTTTGCCGGAAGATGTAATTTCCAATAGCTTGAAATCTATGTTTAATTCTAATTATGAAATTTAAACTTTGAAAAACAGTGCAGATTGAGCATATAGTATAAACACTTAAATTTTTTACTAAGAGACGGTTCAAATAACTTGTTACGAAATACAATATTTTTTTTTGCTTTATATCCATACATCTTGAGATTGAAATGATCAATTGAAAGTTTTCCAACTTCAAAACATTCTTTTTGAGCTGCATCTTACTTCAATAGAATAAGGTTGTAACCTCTATATAATTTTGTTTCTTTTTTTTTTTTTCTTTTTCTTTTTTTGTTTGTAAAATGTGGGGTCCTCAATGAGTACGTATCGCTAGGAGATATTTTTTTTATATGAAATCTAGGTTCACTTAAGAATAACCGAATGACTATTTTTTAAAAAAATTGATCTTTAAATTCTTCAACACTTAGATCTGACCTTCCTATAATTGGTTGTTTATGTTCCTAGGACATTATCAAGCGCAAATTGAAAAATAAGTTATTTGAGGTTAATTATGGGATTAAAGAGGTTAACATTTAACACCCTAAATATACTAACTGCTTTTACTTGAGTAAAAATTTCTACTTGGCTTCCACTTGAGAGAGTAAATGGACAATACATCACAAAATCTTGTGGTGAAATCCAAACGATTCCCAGGGTGTGCGGTTTGTGCAACTTGTCAACAATCAAAGGAAAGCGCACCTGCAAATTGTCAACAATCAAAGGCTAGGGGCCTAAATCCCCACCAATTTACCACTTTATAAAAATAGCTCAGGCTTAATTGATTAGCGCTTGATGATTTGGAATACTACATTCTAGACTCAATTTCTACCGAGGGTAGGAGCCATCTCCCCATTTAATCTCCCAAAAAACAAGCACACTTCTAAATTTAACAAAAATGCAATTTTAGTGTAAAATATAATCATGATAGATTGATAACCTATTCCCCTAATTATGCAATTTAAAGCGCAAAAAATACTGCGAATTGAGCACATCTATAAACACTTAAAAAAGAATAAATAATTATGATATTATGCACAATTTTAAGAAAAAGAAAAGTATAGAATGAGACCATTACCTTTGATAGAAAGTGGTCACAATTAAGCGTGACCATTAGATGTGAAATTGGGTAATGGCATTTATTCCATTGACCAAGTTCAAACTTTAAAAGAAATTTTTTCGAACTTCATGACACATCCAAGCTATCAAATTTGACATTAGATGGTTGTAAATAATTGTGACTACTTTGTTTCAAAGATAAATAATCTCATGGTATCCAATATTTTAAAAAAATAGTTTTTTTTTTTTCATATCTATATATCGGATAGGAGATGATCAAAGTGAAGATCTAACTTAAAAACAATTTTACCCGATTGATTTTTGACACGTGTCTTAGTTCAAGAGCACAAAGCCACAAAGGAGCGAATCTCATTCGACGTTTGCCCTAACTTGAAGATGATACCTCACCCCACGAATAACACAAAATTCAAAATATGTAATGTGATGAAATCCATATGACGTATGAGCGATCACAATTGAAACCATAATTTCTCAAAATATTTCATGGTTGCTGAAAATATCGCCCTCTCTAAAATGAGTTTCTCTCCCTAAAAAAAATCTAAAATTATGCTTGGAAACGCAACCGTTAGTTTCAAGATTTTTATCCCTAGCCAAAGGAGCAGTTTTTATTCCAAAGGGAGGGCCTGTTTTAAGATGATGTTTACACAATAAAGGTGCTTCTACATTGACGTGTGTGGATAGCATTATAGAGCCTTTTCTGGAAGCCCATCTTCTCTTCTCTTCTCTCTCTATACTCATTGTGGGCTCTCTCTCTCTAACATTTAAAAGAAAGATTCTCTTTCCAATTTATTGAGTCCCTCTACTCTTTCCCTATAAGCTTAGGCTTTATGAAAACAAAATAAAACCTCACCTCATACTCTCGTTTGTAAATCACTTTGGGCAATAGAAATGGATCTAAAATCAATTTCCAACACCGACAATAAGACGTGAAACTCAATAATTAATATAGATCTTGCAGATATATGAATACTTATTTTTAAGGTGAAATGAATGGTCTTAATAATTTATTACAATGTAAATTATTTTTAGAGCTTAAAATACTTTTTTTTTTTCACAATCATAATGTTCATGCCGAGGTGATCGATGTAAAGATATTTCAATACTTGAGCTATAATTTCCATAAATTATGAAGTGATGCTTTACTTATTCTAATAAGGTTGCGGCCCTATTAAACCATTTTCCCTCTCTCAATATGTGGCCTCCCTCTCTATTGAGTGTCTCTCTATCCATATTGTGGGTCTCTATCTGTCTCTCTATCTCTTTGCATATGAAACATATGCCGAAACTATTGAAGAATAGCGGCCTCTCTTTTAATATCACAAAAGTAGGGGTGTGTGGTCTTGCATCACTCGGAATATGAGAATATAGGTGGGAAGGGAATAAGGTCGTGGTGGTAGCACCCCATACCCATCTCGTTGTGGTTTCCATTCTCATTATTAACATCTTGAAAAAACTAACTTTTAATCTACTTGAAAAAGCAAATAAAGAAATTTTTTTTTGAGGATACAAGTGAGGGTGGCTAAGCTCGGGCATTTGCCCTAGCCTGGCCCATAAGCTACAAACTATGGCCCACGGCCTATTTTTTTTGTGACCCACGGCCTTCTTTTTTAGGGCTAGGCTGACAGGCCCATAAGCCAGTCAACCACGTGTGTGTGCATGCAGCTGGACCCATGCATGAATGATGATGATGGCATATGAGTATATGTGTTGAATATCGGTGAGATAGTGACTTGATGAGCATCTTGTGTCGATTGGAAAAATCTTGAGGAGATGGAGATGTTTGTGTTCCAAATTTTGGAATCATGTCGTGTTACCCCTCTCTTTTTCCTCTCTGTTGGAAAACTTAGGAATCATGTGGCATTGCCTCTCTCTCTCTCTCTAATCTATGGAAGATTGGGATGCATGCATGAAAAACATTGTAATCGTGGGGCATTACCTCAGGGTCGCAATCGGGTCGGTCGACCCAGAAAAGTTCTAGTCCGGGTCCATATTTTGGACCGGGTAGGTTTGGTTTGGGACCAAACATTTCGACTCGACTTGGGTCAGGTTCGGCTCCAATATAGGGTCGATCCAACCTGACCCAATATAAAAATATATATTATGTGGTATATAAATCAAGGGATAATCTAAACTTCACAACTCTTCAAATTACAAAGGTTCAAGATAGAGAGAGTTGTGAAGGGTGGATTTATTAGTTTTGTAGTCTATTTTTTTTTAAAAAAATTACTTTTGTGGGGCAATTTTGTAAATATTATTACAAGACAAATGGTACTTTTGCCATCTCCATAAGAGATAAAATTGAAATTTTAATTAAAGGATAATAGCACTCTACAAATAAAGTTTCAGGACATTAACTTCCAAAATGCCATTGTATTTTTGTAAAAATTTCAAATTTCAAATTTACT